TCGGAAGTAATCGGTATATGTTTATGAAATAACTTGATTTGAGAAGATGAATATATTTTTTTTTATAAAAACGTATGTAGAATTTTTACATTTTTGTAAAAAAAATATGAAATTTAAAAGTGCATTTTCAAAAAATTCCAATTTTTGAATTTGTGATTTATTTTTTGGTAATCACGTTCCTGAGGCCATAAATGCTGAAGTAATCGGTATATATTGAAATTGTAGTTGGATTTTGAAAGATGTACATTTCTTTAATAAAAATCTATGTGAACTATGTTCTTGTAGCTGCCTAAATACTAGAAAAACCTTCAAATTTGGAAAAGTTTTAAAAAATTCTAATTGTTGGCATTTTTTGGTACAGCAAGTGGTAACTTCTGCTATAACTTCTGAAGTATTTCGGATATTTTGACGAAATTACTTGATTTTGAAAGAAGAATATTTAGTAATTGAAGTTTTAATTTTAAATTTAAAGTTTAATTTTAAAAGTTTAATTTAAAATTCTAATTTTTGGCATTTTTTGCCAAAAATTAGAGAGGCTATAACTTCTGAAGTATTTCGGATAATTTGACGGAATTACTTGATTTTGAAAGAAGAATATTTAGTAATTGAAATTTTGAAGTTTTAATTTTAAATCCCATATGTGGCATCTGGAAAAGTTCCTAACCAATTTCTAAAGTAGTTCATTACTTTTTAAAGCACTTTTAAATTCACGTTCTGTCTAAACTTGATATCACTTTTATTAACACTTTATACTTACATTTGTTTTTTGTTGTTTTGAAGGATTAAAAAATTAGCAAAAATCTTTTAATTTCGTTAGAAATTTGTTAAATAAGTTAACTGTGTTTTTTTTTTGTTTGTTTTCTGGAATACGCTTTTGATCCGCTGGATGTACACTGTAAAGTGTTTGAAACTGTTGTGATGCTGTTCAAGGAATTTCCTTCCGCTTTTATTCATTTACGAATCCTTGAATATCCTTAGTAATGCAACATTCTCATTGGCTATTACAGGAGTTCGTAAAATTTCCTACTCAATGCCGAAGTACAAGAAACGATGTCTTCGTGGAGCAATGAGAGAAAGGAAGAGAGAGAGAGAGAGAGAGAGAAAAAGCGGAGGTGGGGTGGGAAGTCGTCTGGCAGCCAAGACAAACACTTGTTGCTTTTTTTTGGTGGGCCACAAAAAAAGAGAAGAAAAAAGAAGGCGTCAACTTAATACCCACCCAATCACCACAGCCAAAAACAACATCTACACAGGAGTCCTGTGTGGGAGTGGGGGTTGTATGTATGTCCATCATCTATCCATCCATCCATTGATGACGTCTTAACAATGAGAATTATTTACTTGAGGTATTAGTTACAATGAGTTTTACGTGAGAAACACGTGCAATTCTACAGGCCAGCAGTGAGGAGGAGGAGGGGTTGTTGTTCGAAACTTTACATGATAACATCTCCTCATCGAAGTCCTTTAGATAATGTTAAGGCCATTGAAGGCATTAATAAAAATTGTTGTTGTTTTCAGCCTCATCTTTCAATTTCAATTGTTTGTTTTAAACATTAAACATTTAATTGCAAGGATGATGATGCGGTGTGTGTAAACCTCTTTATATGACCAAACGACCACCAACTAAGTTTTTTTTTTGTTGTTGTGGTAATTAAAAAACTAGTAACTTATACGTCCACATTACTGGCATTAAAAAACACCATCTGAGAATTATAAAGTTATTGAATAGTTATAAACATGTTATTAACAATAAAATTAAATTTTTATTAACATTTGTTTTTGTTTGTATTTTTTCTTTATAATTACCGTTGACAACCATATGCAGCTGTTTTACACAGTGTTTCCACTAGCCAGCATACTATGATGGATAAGTGTGTGTTGTGTTTTCTTATCTTCTCTTAATTACATTATGTTGCTTTTTGTTGTTGTGGTTGTTGTTAGTGCATCCACATTACATATGGCTAATCCAATTTGTCAAAATAACACAATTTGTTGTTTGTAATGGATGTGTAAAATAATAAAATGGTCATATTTTTTTTCTCACACCTATCAAACTTTAACGACACCAAAATACACATTTAGTTTTCAGATAATTTTTTCGAAGATGTTGAAATTTGTATGAATATTTTGGTAGGACGATCAAAGTTTTCAATATAGGTATTGAATTTTATTTTTCTGATGGACTAGGGTATTTTTTTAAGTAGAATTGGAGTGAATAGTTGTGTAAAGGTTTCGAAACATTATCAGATCTATTATCGAGGTTTTTACAGTATGCGATTTATGGATCATTACTGTAGCGAACCTCACCAGACTCTATTCCTTCTGATGGGTGCTAGCATCATTTTCGACCGTGCTCAGGGCTTGGGGGGTGTTCTTATCGTTAGAAATGGAAGAAATAAGCCTCAACCAGTTACATGAATATTTATGTTTTAATGGTAGCGAGATTATATGAGCTATATTCGCGGTGATTAATGTTAGTATGAAGGAAGCTTAAATCCCAAAAGCTTTTATGCATTTGTTAATTCTAAAAGAAAAGTTAGAGAATTTCCTAGTAGTATGAAAGATGGTAGTAAAGATTCCGCTGATACGGTTGAAATAGCAGACATGTTTGCAGATTTCTTTCAAAGTACATACTCTACATTCACATTCAACTCAAAGTATGCTTTTAATATTGATAAAATAAACAATTTCCCTAATTTTCTTATAACAGAAGATGAAGTGTTGAATGGTTTAGTTTCAATAAAGTATTGTTGCTCCCCAGGTCCTGATGGAGTGCCTGCGAATATATTGAAAACTTGTGCTTATGAACTGTATAAGCCCCTGACTGCTATTTTAAATCTTTCGCTGTCTACAGGGTACTTTCCTCTGTCCTGGAGATCTAGCTTCATTATCCCCTTACATAAGTCTGGTAGCAGAAATGTTATTGATAATTTCACCTTGTCAACATGGTTTCATAAAAGGGAGATCGACTTTAACTAATCTGATGGAATTAACATGCCATGCACACCATGTATTTTCTACAAAGCAACAAACAGATGTAATTTACACTGATTTTAGTAAAGCATTTGATACGTTGTTACACAAACTTTAATTATTTAAAGTGGACGCCATGAGTTTTCCATTCGAAATTTTGACTTGGATTTCATCCTACTTGCAAAACCGCACTCAAAGCGTATCTTATAATAATATTTTCTCTAGAAATATTGATGTTCATTCTGGAGTTCCTTAAGATAGCCATTTAGGTCCACTATTATTTGTGTTATACCTTAATGATCTTCCATCAGTGATTAAATTTTCAAAAGTGTTGATGTTTGCTGATGATGTAAAACTTTTCAGAAATTTAGACTCACTAAATCAAGCCCTTAATCTACAAAATGATTTGCACTCTCTTGAATACTGGTGCAGTATTAAGGGATGTCACTGAATCTTAAAAACTGTAAAAAATTATGCCTTTCTAAATGTTGTTCAATTCCCACCAATTATTTTATAGGCTCTTACAAATTAGACAATGTTGATTCTTTCTTTGATCTTGGCGTTATCTTAGATGATAAATTGCGATTTAATTTGCATATTGAGTCATGCGTAAATAAAGCCAAATCTTTACTAGGATTTATAAAACGATGGTCTAAAGAGTTTGAGTTTGACCCTTATGTGACTAAACGTTTATTTGTTAGTCTGGTTCGGCCTACATTAGAATATGGATGTGTATTGTGGAGCCCGTTATTCTAAAAAAATTGAATCTGTCCAAACACAATTTCTCTTATTTGTTCTTAGAGGTTTGCCTTGGAGTACAGTTGAACGATTCCCTCCTTATGAAAATCGTTTAAAACTTATTAATCTTCCAACACTAGAACGAAGACGTTTAATGCTGAGATCTATATTTTTAATAAAACTTTTACGCGGTCAAATTGACTCGAAATTTTTAATTGGTGAAATCAAGTTTAATGTACCTTCACGTCTTACTCGTAATTATATACCGCTTTATCTTCCTTTAGTGAGATCTAATTATGAGTTATGTAATCCCTTTAGATCACTATGTGAAATATATAACAACCTGTATAATCGCATCTCTTTATCTGATCCAATACATGTAATTAAAAATTCTATTCTAAATTTAGAACTGTAGAGTGCAAGCAGTGGCAGATGTTTATGTTTTGTGTTTGTCTTTATTGTTGTGTTTAATTAATTAACTTTAAACTGTTTAACCGACTGATGTTTACCTTAGCCGGTGTTTCCCAACATTACTAACCCTCCATAATCCGGATTATGGGGTGTACGTTCTCCCTACGTTATGGGGAGGAGGCCCCCTCGGTCGGCAGGGGCGGGTAATAGTGGCGTGGGAACGATCGAAGAAAATAAAACTATGTCAGCGCAATGAACATTCGAACTATACCCTATCTCAATTTCGTGGAATTATTTAAACATGTACTTTGAATAAGTCGCCATCATTCATACATTAAATTTCAATAGCACGTATTTAAATTAAAAAAAAAAAAACGATATTAAGGATGATAATATAGGTAAGATAAAACTAGATTAAGGTTAACATAAACAATGCAATTCAAGGTTTTGTTTTTATTTTTTTCTTTTTTTAATCTATAAATTATTACCTTATTTTAAATCGCGATTAATCGTGTTCAATAAAATAACATTTTATATTTATAAATAAATATAAGAACTATAAAGAATGGTCGCGTTAGTTGCCCACACTCAGACACCAACCTACTATGAAAAAGTTCTTCTACATCAGTCTCATTTGTGCCCATGCTCCGACCGAAGATATTAAGATGAACAGACCAAACAAAGACATATTTTACGAGCACCTAGAAACAGCATAGGACCGCTGCCCTGGCCATGACATTAAAATTCTACTAGGAGATTGGATTTATCCCGATCGAACAAGGAGAAATCAAATCGATCATGTTGTGATAGACGGAAGGCATTCATCCAGTGTTTTAGACGTTCGATCGATCCGAAGAGCGAATATCGATTCGGACCATTACCTTGTGGCAGCCAAGGGTTCGCACCCGTCATAATGTAGCAGCAAAGATGCGATCTAATGTAACACGGAAACTCGACATCGGAAGGCTGCAAATACAACAGATAGCAGAAGCCCACTCCGATCAACTTATCCAACTGTTTGACGAAAGTACTCCTTGTCCCTATAATAATATATAAGCACAATGACAGAGAATTTCCCACTCTCTACAAACTACAGCAAAAGCAAGACTTGGGTTCCAAAGACCACCACCAAGAAACCTGTGGTACGATCAGGCAACCCTGCAGACAGTAGCAACACGTAAAAACGTATTTTTATAAAAAAGATGAAAGAACAAGAAAAACGTGAGCGTAAGCAAATCGAGATGGATAGGAGTCAGAATGAATTCCGGAAATTTTACCAACGAGTAAAACAGCAAACCGAAGACTTTGGTGCAGGCACATCCTCCTGTAGAGGTGAAGAAGGAAACCTGATGACAGATACAGACAGCGTGCTGAGGATCTGGAAGGAGTATTTTGAAAAACTTCTGGTAGTAGCCGTGAAGAGGATACCCCAGGAGCATGTACCAGCTGATTAGTACAATCTGGCTAGATGAATGCATGACCAACAATTGGAACCTCAGCATTCCGTGCACAAAAAAGAAGACAAGACAATATGTACCAACTATAGAAGAATAAGTCTGCTTCCCATCGAATATAAAGTACTATCCACTTTCAGTGTGAACGACTGAAGCCAATGGTTAATGGCATTATTGGACCATACCAATGCGGCTTCAGACCTGGCAAATCCACCATTGATCAGATTTTCACTCTGCTCCAAATCCTGGGAAAGACCCACGAAAAAAACACATCGACACATTCCAGCTATTCGTCGACTATAAAGCCGCATTCTGAACTGATAGGACTGTTCAGAGGTGTTTATGGCCATGTCTGCATTTGGCATTCCAGCGAAATTAATACGGCTAAAGTCGGGAAGGACCTCTCAGAGCGCTTCAATGCCGAACGAGGATTCAGACAAGGTGACAGTTTGTCGTGTGATCTTTTTAACATGATAGGCAAAGGTGAACAGAAATGACACTCTGTAGACCAAACAACACATGTTACTCGCCTACGCCGATAACTTCGTCACAATGGGTCGAACATTGCGAGCGGTAACAGTCACCTTTGAACAAATTGAGAAGGAGTCCGCCAATGTGGGACTGGCAGCAAATGACGATAAGACCAAGCTGATGGTATCAACGCGCAAGACGTCCACTAACTCAGACCAACTGTGGAACTTGGAAACTACAGCTTCGAGGTAGTCAAATATTTTATATATCACCATACCGCCATAAACAAAACGAATGGCATCAGTTTTGAAATTCGGAGAGGGATAGTGTTGGTCAACATTGTCTAAATAAGCAGTTTATAAATAAGGCCCCACTCTACTAGACGCTGATACTACACGTGCTCGTGTACGGATCAGAATCATTGGCACTTGCGTAAGCAGATAAGTCAGCTCTTGGAGTGTTTGAAAGAAAAATTCTCCAAAAGATTTACTGGCCGATCTGCGTCGACGGTGAATATCGGCGTCAAGGGACCATGCATGAGTCGTACCATTTATTCTGTGACATCGACATAGTCATATCGAGCTGCAGCGAGGATGCCCCAGCTCAAATCTATATATATATAAGAGCTTAGTGTTAAGTGAGTGAGTACCTGACAGATCATCGCCCAGCCGAAACGGCTAAAGCTAGAGGCTTGAAATTTGAGTGCGGGTTGTTGTTGTTGGTATATAGGCGTGAGATAAGGCTGGGTTTTTGGAAATTCGAACTAGAAGGGTATGAAAAGTACTAAAATGTACCAAATATGGTACCCTTTGTATTACGCGAACGGGAAGAGCTAGAATTCTGAAATTTGGAATGTGGGTCACTGATGGAAATTTAGAAAGCTGTTCAAAAAGGTTTTTGGAAATTCGAACTATAAGTGTACTAAAAGTACTAAACTTTACTAAATTTAGTTCTAGAATCTTGAAATTTTATATGGAATAAAGGTTGGGAAGTGGTATTGATGTATGGAAACGGTTTATGAAATTAGTACATATTTATATAAAATGTACAAAATGGTACTAAATTCAGTACTATTTGCGTTTAAATGAGTGTATAGAGATGAAAGACTGAAAATCAGAAAGAGGGAATACTATTGTAGTACAGGATTGAGGTAGCTTTAAAAAATCGTACTTATGTGTACGAGAATTAATAAATGGTACTAAATTTGGTGCAAATTGGATTTAGGTGAACGGATAGAGCTGGAGTCTTCAAATTGAGAATTAAAATGACTGTTGGAGTGTATGCTTCAGGTAGTTTAGAGGATAGAGATGGAAACTTAGGATAGAGATGGAAAACTTATATTTAAAAATATTACTGTTATACGGCATTTACATTAGAACTTTTTACCGGGTTAACCTACTTTATGAGGTTTTATTTGGCATATATTCAAAGGAATTGAAAACTTAAACCCACTGGGTTAACCAAATCCGGTTCAATGTAAACGACCTTTTAGAGTACAGGATTGAGACAGGGTTGGAAATTCGAACCTCATTCAATATGTGGAATGGATGAAGTTTTAAAAACTCGTACTTACGTCTACGAAAGGTAATAAACTGTTCCAAATTCGGTACAATTTGGATGTTGGTGAACGGATAGAATTTATGTGTACAAATAGTAAATAGAATAGAAAATGCACAAAATTTGGATTTGGGTAACGGTGAGAGCTGGAAACCTAACATTTGAAATGTGGGTCATTGACGGAGAGTTAGAAAGAAGTACCAAAGGGTTTTTTTGTACTAAATTTAGTGGTGATATGGAGGTAGTCTTGAAAATGTGTACTTATATGTGCGAAAAGTGCTAAATGGAACTAAATGTGGAACCTGTACGTAAATATATAATTAGAATTCTGATTTATTTTTAATCAGTGTAATGGAAATAAGAAAGATATTTCGCAAAGTAGTGTTTATGTGTATGAAGAGTACATATAAACATGGTATTAGATGTAAGAATAGAGGTGAAATTCAAAACTATAGTACAACAAATTATAAAGTATTCAGGACTTTAATATGAAATATTATATTTTTTTATTCCCTTTCCGCATACAAAGTAGCGGGCATTTTGCTGGTTCACGTAGAAGGGAAGGTCACGAATTCGATGGAAATATCAAGTGGATGATGATGACAAGATCGACGCGCCCAAAAAATATTTTTTTAAGTTCGGCTTATGGAACAAATGTTCTGCCACAAGCTACCTAAGTAAGTAAGTGCGTCAACAACAACGAGACTTTGGAACAGTTTCTACGTCACTGCCCGGCTTTTGCAAAACTTCGAACCCAATTTGAAGGAAATGACATGAGATGGTGTGAATGGGAAAACCCGCACTAAGAACACATAATTTCTAGAAGTATACGAGAGCCAACTTCAAGATATTTCTTCTAACATTTTCCTTTGTAGGGCACACAACAAAACCTTGAAAATATGTTGGAGTAAACCACCCTTCTTTTCAACATAAGCTAGCCATAGGAAATTGTTTGCGTCAAAACTTCGCTATATTTGTTGTTATTTAATTAACATATTTCTTTTTATTGAAATAATGACATATGTTTAATTTATAAATAATGTTTTAAAATTAAATTATCTACTACGACATTAATTCCAAAAGTCAATTACATATTCACATGTACATATATATTTTTTGGACTATGGTGAGTGGTGACAACATTACACAAAATCACTAAAAATTAAAATTTTGTCTACGAAAAAAGAAATATCGACTAGCGATATAAACACTGTGGTATTATTTGCATAAAATTTGAATAAATAAATTGCTTTGCAATTTTGTTTCAATTTTTTTTCCTATTAGATTCCAATATGCAAGCAATGTTAAACTCGAGCGGGAAGGGAGGGTTGTGAGAAGAGAAAAGGGAACTAATTGTGTAATGGGCAAGTGTGCGTGTGTGTGGAATATTCTACAGAATCGATTTTTTTGACGTATGCAGATAGTTTGTCATAGAGTTCCGTTCAAACTATGCCGCCTAACATTCAAATACATTGAAACTGTCCGCTTATGCCGAAGAAAAATTGAAAAAATTGTTATGTAAAAATAATCGATTAAAATGTTAATTAATTGTTTATTTGATTGCTTCGTCGTCGTTGTCGTCGTTACAGTTACTTTCTACTTATAGAATACATAATTTGCTTAAGATTGAATGACACAATGACTATTTTTTATTTACCGCCGCCACCACTGGGCAGGGCGTATTCATGGCATAACCCAAACACTGCAGAGCCCTTCGTATGTCAATGAAAACACTGGGATCTTCAATTGTCGCCGGCAACACAACCAGCTCATTTTTCGCAAAATCTGCCATAGCTTTACGCATTGTCTTGCCCGATCGGGTGCGTGGCAATGCCTTAACGGGGGCGACCAAACGAAACGATGCTATGGGTCCAACAATTTCACGTATTTTTTGTATAATTTCTGCCGACAGCTTAGCCGGTGTCTTTGAGCAATTTTCTCGCGGTACATAGAGGCACATTGGCACCTGGCCCTTTGTCGGTTCGGGTACACCAAAAACGGCAACATCCACCACATCGTTATGTCGCAAAACAGCATCTTCTAGGGCCAGTGTCGATATGCGATGCCCGGCAACATTGATGATATCATCGGCCCGGGCTGTGACAAAGATATAACCATTTTCATCTTTATAGCCGGCATCCATGGTGTCATAGTAACCCTTGAAAATAAAAAAGAGGAGGTAGAATTTTGGTAACTAAAATAAATCATGAATCAAATATCAATTACTCACCGGATATTTAGTGAAATAAAGTTTTTTGAAAAGTTCATCATTCTCGTAGAGTGTGGACATATTACCCGGAGGCAGGGGTAATTTAATTACAATTCTTCCTAATTCCATAGGTTCGCATTCCGAGCCATCGGTATGCACCACTTTAACTGAAAATAAAATAAATTTATTAATCAGAGAAATACTAATATTTACGTTGGGCGCCACTATAAGAAATCATGGTTGCCAAGGAATGTTAACCATGATGGGTTCAGTACGATCGGGCGGAACTTTATATAATCTCAATACTTTAAATTATTAGGGATTTTGATATTTTGGGCCAGGCCAAATGGTGAAAAAACGTGAACTGACAAAACAAATAAAAAGATCGTTAAACTCGGGCGGTCCGGACTTTTATATGGGTTGGTAAATGGTAAATATTTGATATATATATTATAAATATATATATATATATATATATATATATATATAAATATATATATTATATATATTATAAAGATATTTTCCTACATGATTATGGCGCCCAAAGTTGTTTATTTATTTTTTTCTTTCAAATATTCTTCTTACTACAGTAAAGAGGGAGCATTTTGAAAAGCTTCTGTTATCAAATAGTGGCGGTGAAGAAAATACCCCAGAACCAATAACAGATGACGATATAGATTGTATAGCACCTAGCCAAGATGAAGTCAGAGTAGCAAATAATCGGCTGAAGAACAATAAAGCAGGAGGTACCGATGGATTACCAGCCGAACTATTTAAGTCCGGTGGTCTGATGCTGGCCAGCAGCATGGACCAGCTGATTAGTTCAACTTGGTTAGAGGAATGCATGACCAACAATTGGAACCTCAGCATACTGTGTCTCGTGTACAAAAAAGAAGACAAGACAATATGTGGCAACTATAGAGGAATTAGTCTCCTTCTCATCGCATATAAAGTGCTATCCAGCGGGCTATATGAACGACTGACTGAAGTTGAAGAAAATACCCCAGAACCAATAACAGATGACAGTATAGATTGTATACCACCTAGCCAAGATGAAGTCAGAGTAGCAATTAATCGGCTGAAGAACAATAAAAAGCAGCAGTTGCCGATGGATTACTAGTCGAACTATTCAAGACCGCTGGTCTGATGCTGGCCAGGAGCATGCACCAACTGATTAGTACAATTTGGCTAGAAGAATGCATGTCTAATGATTGGCACCTCAGCATCCTGTGTTTCGTGTGCAAAAAAAGAAGACAAGACAATATGTGGCAACTATAGAGGAATTGGTTTCCTTCCCATCGCATATAATGTGCCATCCAGCGGGCTATGTGAACGACTGAAGCAATGCGGCTTCGGGCCTGGCAAATACACCATTGACCAGATTTTCACTCTGCGCCAGATCATTTACAAGACCCACGAAATACACATCGAAACATTCCACCTATTCGTCGACTATCAAACCCATTCGACAGCCCTATCCGCTCAGAGGTGTTTAAAGAGTGCTTGTCTGCGTTCGGCATTCCTGCAAAATGAATACGGCTATGCAGGATAACTTCAATTGGCACCAGGTCAGCAGTTAAAGTCGGAAAGGACCTCTCGGAACCCTTCAACACCGAACGATGATTCAGACAAGGGGACAGTTTGCCGTGTGACCTGTTTAACATCCTGCTGGAAAAGGTCATACGAAATGCAAATGAGAATAGAAATGGCAAACTGTAACCCAAACAACAAATGTTACTCGCATACATCGACGACATCGACTCAATGGGTTGGACATTGCAAGCGGTAACAGCCACTTTTTAACGAATTGAGAAGTAGTCTTCCAAAGTGGGACTGACAGTAAATGTCGAGAAGACCAAGCTGATGGTATCAACGCGCAAGACGTACAGTAGACTCGGACCAACCGTGGAACTTGAAAACTACAGCGTCGAGGTAGTGAACGATTATATATACCTCGATACTGCCATAAACAAAAAATATGTTGGCCAACAGATGCTACTATGGTCTGAGTAAGCAACTCAAAAGCAGGGCCACCTCTAGCCAGACCAAACATGATGCTGATGCTGATATTACCCGTGCTGTTATATTGATGTGAAGCATGGGTACTTGCGCAAGCAGATGAAACAGTTCTTATATGTGAGAAAAAAAATTCTCCAGAAGACCTATCCCCCAACCTGCGTTGACGGTGAATATCGTCGTCGAATGAACCATGAGTTGTATCATCTATTCTCGGACATCTACATAGTCAGTCATATCGAGCTGCAGCGACCACGGGGGCTAGACCATGTTGTGCGAATGGATGAGGATACCCCAGCTCAAAAGGCATATAAAAGCGAACCATCTGATAGTTCACACAGTAGGGGAAGATCACGAATTCGATGGAAAGATCAAGTGGAAGACAAAATCTCGGAAACGGACTTTTAGATTGGAAGAGCTTCGTACAAGACCGACGCGCATAGGAATCTTTTTTAAGCTCAGCTTATGGAAAAACCGCACAAGCTAGCTAAGTAAGTAAGTACAGTAAAGAGGTGGGCGAAATGATAGAAGAAGTGTGCAAAATTTCACAAATATAGCAAAAACATGATTAAGCTGGAGCGAGCCAAACTTTTTATACCCTCCAACATGTGTCGGACATTCAAAAAACCTAATATCGAACGAGGGTTTTATATGGAAGATTTGACATGGTAATTTTTGTTGGCAGATTTTTAAAGATTTTTCCCTAAAAAATTATGGCGCCCAACGTTTTTTGTTTATTTCTGTTTTTTTCAATAATCTAGTAAAGAGATTGGCTAAATGATAGAAGTGAGCAAAATTTTACAAATATTGCAAAAACATGATTAAGCTGGAGCGGATCGAACTTTTTATACGCTCCGAAATGAGGTGGATATTAAAAACAAACTAATATCGATCGAGGCGTCTATATGAGGGATTTGACATGTTAAATGTTTCCCTATAAAATTATGGCGCCCAACATTTTGTCCTTTTTACATTCAAATATTCTACTTACTAGTAATCAGGTGGGTCAAATGGTAGAAAAAGCGAGCAAAATGTCACAAGATAAAGTAAGGTCGAAGTTTTTATACGCCTTACCATGAGACGGACATTCAAAAAAACTTAATATCAATCAAGGTTTTTATATGAGTGATTTGCTATGTAATTTTTTGGCAGATTTGTAAAGAATTTTCCACAAAAAATTATGGCGCCCAACGTTATGTATGTTTGTTTTCTTTCAAATATTCCACTTACTATTATAGCCAATAAATGGCAAACCGGTTGTAAATGCTGGTGTATCAAGACGTTGATTGAAACCCAAACATGTAGCCGTTATCGCCGATCCGGTTTCTGTTTGCCACCAATTATTCAAGACAGGTACCTTAAAGGTTGTCTCAATCCATGACTTCGTTTCCAAATCACAATGTTCGCCGGCAACAAATATGGAACGTAACGATTTCAGTGAATATTTACGACCGTATACACAATCGGGATCGACACGTCGCAGGACACGAAATGAAGTGGGTACGGAGAATAGGGAGGTGACTTTGTGTTGATCAATGATGCTGGAATAAAAAGAAAAAAAAACATTTTTTTATTAACACTAGAAAGACGGGAATTTTGTATATACCTATATTGCCTGAACTAATTTTTTAATATTTTTTACATTATTTACAATCATACAAAGCCTTGATATTATTTGTTTTCGGTGGTAGGGCTCTCGAGTTTCACCTTTTGAAAAATAAGAACGCGGACAAAATGTTCGAAAAAGAGGAAGTCTTTACTCTAAGAGTGAAATCGACTGGAAATATAAAATTTATTTTTCCCGATTTGTATGTTCGTTTGTGTTTCTAGAGTAGCAAACGGGTTTCGATGTTGTTGTACTGATCTGGTCATATAAGAAATTTACTATATACAATAATAAAAGTAGTTTGATTATTTATTATTTCACAAAAGGTCAAAATGACCGCTTTTAGGCCATATAGGTATAGCACATGTGAATACGGGGAATAAAAGAGGGGGAGAAGCAGCTACTATGATTAATAAACGTAGTTCTATGTGGTACAAAAAGTCACCAAATTGTAAAAAGCTGGGTCATAATATACACAATGGTTTTTTGTACTTGAAATTAAAAAACGGTCAAAATGACTGCCTTCGGCAATCTAGTGTTAATTGTGTAAAGGTTCAACAAGTTAGGAGTGGTTTCTAATATGGCGCCCAATTAAAGGAAGATTTGACATCCAAAATGAAGTATTGATTAAAAATCTTGTATCCTTATATCAATTGTTGCATCATTATTCTAAAATATTTAAGCAACAAATATGGCGCCCAACGTGTCCTCTTACTTCTTTTTTTAGAATCCCTCGAAAAGTTCCATGGTATTTCCTGATTTTTTTCAAATTTTCACTCTTAGAACTATTAAAGATTTTTTTTCTGAGAAAAGTATTTAAAATCGTTCATCATTGTATAAATTAATGAATAATGATGCAACAAATATGGCGCCCAATGTGTCCTCTTAAAAATCTAAAAGGCAACCCCTTACTTCTATGACATTTATCGCAAATATTCATTACTAGGATCTTCCATTTATTATTATGCTTAGCAAATATGGCGCCCAACGTGTCCTTTTAAAAATCTTATCTAAAAAGCCATCCTTACATCTTTGACATTCCCTTCGAAAATATTAATTAAAAACCTTCGACTCTTGCTATCCTCTTCCATTTATTGTTACTCTTAGCAAATATGGCGCCCAAATGTACAACCACAATAATTTTCCCCAACTAAATTTACTCACCGATAATATTGTCCTGGATCTGGTGTTCTATCCGGCTTCCCCTCATACATAACACTTGTTGCCCCATACAACAACGGCCCATAACATATATACGAATGACCAACAACCCAACCCAAATCCGAGGCATTCCACCAAACATCATCCGGATCTAGGCCATAAATCGTTTTCATTGTATACATCAGGGTTACCAAATGACCGCCAATCGGTCGTTGTACACCCTTTGGTTTATCTGTTGTACCCGATGTGTATAGAATATACAGCGGATCGTTGGCCTCAACGGCTACACAATCGGCGGCAGCATGCAAGGTTAATACCGTCGACCATGGTATGTCCGTTTTCGTATTCAAACATGAACGCATTATATTGCTACGTTCAAATATAATATTACAGCTTGGCTTCCATGTGGACATATCCACCGCTTTGTGTAGTATATCCAAATAGGGTATTATCTTGCCCGGTTCAATGCCACAATTGGCGGCAATAATAATTTTCGGTTTGGCATGTTCAATTCGGGTACACAGCTCATTGGCGGCAAAGCCACCAAAGACCACAGAGTGGACAGCTCCCAAGCGAGCTGTGGCCAGCATAGCCATAATAGCTTCCGGAATTAGGGGCATATAAATGACAACTTTGTCGCCACGTTCAACGCCCAGGCTGGCCATACCACCAGCCAGCAAGGAGATCTGCAATAACAAAAAACATTCAATGTAATTCCAACCTCGTTACGATATTTATTAATTTTCTGCACACCAACCTGCTCATACAGTTCTCCATAGGTCACATGCCGTACAGTATTTGTCATTGGACTGTCATGTATTAGCGCCACCTTATCACCTTTGCCCTGCAGTACATGACGATCAACGGCATTGTAGCAAGCATTCAATTGACCACCCACGAACCATTTAGTAAACGGTGGATTTGAATTATCCAAAACCCGATTCCATGGTCTCACCCAATCGATTAAATGTGCAATTTTATCCCAAAAATCGCCGGGTTGATTAATCGATTTGCGATAACTTTCCAAATACACTGGATCATGTGAATCGTCTGGCAAACCTCCTGGAAATAGTGAGAAAAATAAAAGATGTACTCTCACAGTTTTGTTGAAAATCTTCCTAAAAATCATTGTACATAGCTCTGTGAAAAACTTCTTCGAAAAAGTTCCTCCATAAAATATTCTCAAAGATTCCCTAATATATTCTTAAAAATTCTCGCATATAGTTCATTTAAATATTCAGCCTTATTCTGGACATCAATTCACCGTAAATTTGTTCGTTTTCCCTTTAATTTTATTATGAACCAGAACTCGCAGCGATCTTTTTTCACATTTTCACTTTTCCCTTATTCTATTTTCAATTTCCCCCTATTCGAAAGTGAAAAAATCCGCTTTAGGGGAAAATTAGTTATTCTGGATTACGGGGAGAATGTGATGACATTTTGTGCGAAAATTTTCTCTAATAAACTTAATGGTCTAAATAAAACCAGGGAGTCTAGAGTCAGCGACGGTCGTTTACCGTGTGTTTCTTATTTGCAACGGGAAATCCCGATAGCTGACGTTCGAGTCTAGCGGCTTGACGCTAGAATATATTTTATTCATTTTTGCTCAGCGACATACTCAAATTTTCTCTCTTGCTCTCAATTAAGTTGCCATATTTTAAGTAAAAATCAGCAGTGCTACCAACATTTCAATGGAAATTTATATCAAAACATATGGCTGTTAGTGCTGTTAAAAATGGGGAGATAAAATATCGAAATTAAATAAAAAGGCACACAATTATGTAGGAAAATAATAAACTGCGAATTAATTTAATTCAATCGCAGATTTCTTCCTATTATTCGTTGTGTCTTTGACAACGTTCAATGCGTTTTTTGTATAAATTTTTTAAAAAAAAAAGTTCTTTTATTTGTAATCTGTTGTAGTTGTTGCACCAAATTGCATTAAAACAATAAACAGCTGTTTCACATGCCATATTGTAGGTTGCCATATTTTCAAACTTTAATTTATTTTCCTTTTATTACAAAACAGTTTTACAGCGGATTCCTGATATTTCGCATTTATATTGTTTTAAAATTTTAAATAACAAAAAAGTAACACTTTTTAATGAAAAAAAACGACTACAAAAATATTGAAAAATATTACAAAATTAAATTACAATACAATAAATTACAATTTTCGAAAATTCGAATCCGCATCTCGCATTTTTTGCTTCTCCCTATTCATTCAAAATAAGGCGAGAATGTGAAAGCGAAAAATTGTTCACAAGCGAGATCTTTCCCTAGCGAATAACGAATGGGCTGTATACTTTTAAAAGAGAATAATCCGAACTATATGCGCTGATTTTTAAAGTAAAACTTTTGGGGGGCTGTCAGAGTTCGAATGGCGGATTAATTTAAAAAATTTATTAGAGGGCATATCTGAACTAAACGTGCATTATGAAAATAATTTATTTAAGGCACAATCAGAACTATAAGCTCGAATTTTTAAAATAATTTATTTAAAGGACTATTTTTCAACAATAAGGGAATTATCTGAATTAAAAAGCGTGATTTTCCTTTGGAAAATATTCTTTAAAAAATCCACGCTTTTTGTTCAGAGAGTTCGTGGGAAAATATTCTTTAAAAAATCAGGTAGTATTTGGAAAATATTATTTAAAAATACACGCTTGTAACTCAGATAGTCCTTTGAAAAATATCCTATAAAATCCACGCTTTTTGCTTAGATATATATAGATATATATTATATATATTATATATATATATAAAATATATATATATATATAATATATAGATATATATATTTTTTATAAAATCCACCTTTTTTCTCAGATAGTCCTTAAGAAAATATTCTTTAAAAAAAATCCATGGCGTTTGCTCAGATTGTCCTTGGAAAATATCCAGGCTTATTGCTCTGATAGTTCTTTGAAAAATATATACACGCTTATAGTTCAGATATTCTTTTGAAAAATATTCTTTAAAAAATTCACGTTTATATCTTAGATAGTCCTTTGAAAAATATTATTTAAAAAATACACGCTTATTGCTATATAATCCTTTGAAAAATAAATAATCTTAAAAATCCACGATTCTTGCTTGATAATCCTTGAAAAAATATCCTAAGAAAACTAAGCCTTTTGCTCGGAAAATATTCTTAAAAAATCCACGTTTTTTTTTTTGCTCAATTAGTACTTGGAAACATATCCATTAAAAACCCCACGCTTTTAGCTCAGATAGTCCTTTAATTTTTTTATATCCACGCTTTTTGCTCAAATAGTCCTTTGAAAAATATTCTTTAAAAATCCTGGCTTCGAAAATCGATGTTTAAAGCTCTGATAGCCCTTTGAAAATATTTTTCTAAAGCGCAGATAGTAATTTGAATAACATTCTTTAAAAAACCACGCATTGAAATATATTCTTTAATAGGTCCACGATTATAGTTCAGATAGACATTTGAAAAATATTCTTAAAAAATCCACGCTTATAGCTAAAATTGTCATTTGAAAAATATTCTTAAAAAATCCACGGTTTTTGATCAGATAGTCATTTGAAAAATATTCTTTAAAGAATCCACGCTTTTTGCTCAAATAGTCCTTTAAAAAATATTCTTTAAAAAATCCACTCTTATAGCTCAGATTGTCTTTTGAAACATATTCTTTAAAAAAATCCACGCTCATAGCTCAGATAAATTATTTAAAAAATCCTCCACGCTTATAGCTCGACAGTCCTTTAAAAATTATTCCTCAAAAAATCCAAGTTCATAGCACCGAGATAGTCCTTTCAAAATTATTTAAAAAAAATCACTCTTTTAGCTCCTTTCAAGAAAAAAATCGAAATACAATTAAATTTTGCCCCACGATGTCCTTTAAAAAATCCACAATTATAATTCAGATATTTCACGGAAAAATATTAAAAAAAAATCCAATCTCGTAGCGCTGATAGGCATTTTTTCTTTATTGAATCCACAAATATATCCTTCAAAACTTCAAGGCTTATAGCGTAGATAGCCCTTTCGAACATTTTCTGAAATAAAATTTAAGCTTTTGGCAGTTTATTTAAAAATATTATATATGTATATTATTTAAAAATTCCATGCTTATGGCTTTGATTGTCCTTTCGAAAATATTTTTTGGGAAACATTACTTTAAAATTAAATTATTTTCTAACATCGTTGCTTATAACACTAAAAAATATTTTTTTAATCCACGTATATCCTCTTTAAAAATAATTTTAATTAATTTTATCATAGCTTTGTTTTTACTTGTTTGCCTTTAATTATTGTTATTCCTTTTAAACATATTTATTTTATAATTTTTTACGATATATCCACTATATAATTGTTGTTTAGTCCATTTTTTTTTTCTTAGATCAAAATTGAACATGATTTTATACCACTATAATTCTCATTATCAGCATTTGCAGTCATATTCCTTTTTTTATTTCAAAATGTTTTTTTATTCTTCACAATTTTCAAATATATATCCAGCACACAAACATCCGTTCCACTCAAATGAAGTCTTTTAACTGAAAATTAAATTCCCGATATTCGAAATATAATATTGAAATTCTACGTTTCGATAATATGTTAATAATATTATAAATGAGGGCCCCCCAAAAACAACAAAAGATAAAATTAAATTGGAATAAAATAAAATAAAAATCGCCCGTTTACGTCGTAGTCGTCTCTATATATTTTGTATTTCCATTGCGGATAGAAGGCATTTTAGTGTCAATGGCTTTCTTGCATACAACGACGCTAACCCACTGCTGATAGTCCAAAGGTGTAATAACATACAACAGCATACAGTGTCCATACATAGGTATATACATACATATGTATGTACATACGAAAATAAGCAGTTTAAAACAATCTTTTTGGGGTTTGAAATTAATTTAGTGTTTTGTTTTTATAAAATATAATAATATATATTTTTAGGTTAATTTAAAACCTGAAATGGAATTATGTATGTTCAAATTTCCCGTTTTTATTTTATTTTGAGGAAACGGTGTCGGTGGAAAAATAGTTTTATTTAAAAATCCGCCATAGTTTTGGTATTCCGCCACAAATAATCTGTAGAAAATCCACACATATATCTCAGATCTAGAATACCAGAAATATTCTCTTAAAATCCAGACATATATATATATATAGCTCACATTGTCCCTGAAAAATTGTATTTTAGTTCCATACATTTTTTTAAATCTAACCTTACAGACGCTTAAAGCCCAATTAGGCTATCAGAGATATTCCTTTGGAAGTCCACTTTTATAGCTCATATACTCCTTAAAATATATTTTAAATTAACGATTATAGTTCGGATAGTCCCCATATCCACGCTCATGGTTCAGATCGCGCCTTAATTTTTTTAAAGATCTTGCTTATAGTTCAGTCCTTTGAAAAATATCCTATAAAAATCTACGCTTATAGCTCAGATAGTCCTTCGAAAATATTCTTTAAAAAATTCAAGCTTTTTGCTCAGATGGTCCTTTAAAAATTTGCGGTTATAGCTCAGATAGTATTTAAAGAATATCCTATAAAAATCCACGCTTATAGCTCAGACAGTCCTTTGAAAAATATTCTTTAAAAATCCACGCTTATAGCTCAGATAGCCCTTTGGAAACTATTCGTTAAAAAAAATCCACGGCTTTTCCTCAGATAATCCTTTGCAAAATATTCTTTAAAAATCCGCCTCGCTTACAGCTCAGAAAGTCTCTTATAAATATTATTAAAAAATCCTCGCTTATACCTCAGATAGCTTTAAAATCCAAGCTTCAAGCTTTGATGGTTTCTCAAATGAACTCTTTTAAAATCCACGCTTCGAGCTTTGATAGTTCCTCAAATAAATTCTTTTAAAATCTACGAATAAATTCTTTAAAAATTCACGGATTGAGCTATAAAAATCCTTTAAAAATTCTTCGCTTCGATCTCTGATAATTACTCAAATAAATTATTTTTTAATCCACGCATCGAGGTCTTAAAATATCCTTTAAAAATCCATGCATAGAGGTCTAAAAATATAATTTTAAAATCCTATCTTCGAGCTTTAATATTTCCTCAAATAAATTATTTTAAAATTTACACATCGAGCGCTAAAAATATGGGTTTAAAAATCCACGCTTATAGTTCAAATCATTCCTATTCCAAGCTTCCTATAAATCCAAGCTTATAGTTCAGATATTACCTCAAATAAATTCTTCAAAACCCTTATAGTTAGGATAGTCCTTTAAATAAATTCAAAAAACCACGCTAGATAGCGCATCCTCAAAATATTTGTATAAAAATCCACATAGTACCACAATTTTTTTAGGAATCCGAATTTTTATTCTAGATAATTCCTCAAAAAATCCACGCTTATAGGTCAGATAGTAACTAAAATTATTCTAAGAATCCACGTTTTAAATTCATTAAATTTAAGTTCAAAAATAGTCCTTCAAATAAATTATTAAAAAAAAATTAAGCTTATAGTTCTAATAGTGCCTTAAATAAATTATTTTCATAAAGCACGTTTTTTAGTTTAGATATGCCATCTAATAAATTCTTTAAAAAAAACCGCCATTCGAAATCTGGCAGCCCTCCAAAAGCATTCCTTTAAAAATCCGCGCATATAGTTCAAATTATTCCTCAAATAAATTATCTTAAAAATATAAGCTTATAGCTCTGAAAGTCCCTCAAATAAATTCTCTTAAAAATATACAGCCAATTCGCTATGGCATGTGAAGCAGCTGTTTATTGTTTTGATGCAATTTGGTGCAACAGCTACAACAGATTAGAAATAAAAGAAAATTTTTTATGACATAAAAACACAACGAATAATGGGAAAAATCTGTGATTGAATTAAATTAATTCGTAATTTATAATTTCACTACATAATTTTGTCCCCTTTTATTTAATTTCGATACTTTATCTCCCCAAATTTTTAAGGTGGCCAATTTTTTATGACATTCTCCTCCTTCTTTATTTCTTCCTTCAAATCATCATCGATAAATTTGAAAGAACATCTTTCGAGCTTGATTCGGAATAAGGGGAAAGTGAAAATGCAAAAAAAAAAAAAAAATCGCTGCGAGTTCTGGTTCGGAATAACTTTAAAGGGAATAGCGAACCAATTCACTGTGAATTGATGTCCAGAATAAGACTGATAAGATTATAGCTCTGAAAAGATCGAGGCTCAAAAATTTTCTTTTAAAAATCCACGCCTATAGTTCAGATATTCCACCAAAAAATTCTTTTTAATATTCCCTCTAAAAAATTCTTTTAAAAATCCACGCCTATAGTTCAGATATTCCACCAAAAAATTCCTTTTAATATTCCCTCTAAAAAATTCTTTTAAAAATCCACGCCTATAGTTCAGATATTCCACCAAAAATTTTTTTTTAATATTCCCTCTAAAAATTCTTTTAAAAATCCACGCCTATAGTTCAGATATTCCACCAAAAAATTTTTTTTAATATTCCCTCTAAAAAATTCTTTTAAAAATCCACGCCTGTAGTTCAGATATTCCACCAAAATTTTTTTTTTAATATTCCCTCTAAAAAATTCTTTAAAAAATTCTTTAGTTCAGATATTCCACCAAAAATTTTTTTTAATATTCCCTCTAAAAAATTCTTTTAAAAATCCACGCCTATAGTTCAGATATTCCACCAAAAAATTCTTTTTAATATTCCCTCTAAAAAATTCTTTTAAAAATCCACGCCTATAGTTCAGATATTCCTTTAAAAATTCATTTCTAAAAATCCACGCCCTTCTAAAAATCCACACCTATAGTTCAGATATTGCCGTCTAAAAATCCACGCCTATAGTTCAGATATTCCCTCAAAAAATTCCTTTAAAAATCCACCCCTGTAGTTCAGATATTCCCTCAAAAAAATTATTTTACAAATTTACATTTATAGCTCTGATGGTTCCTAAAAAATTACGTTTATAGCTCTCATGGTCCCTTAAAAACATTCTTTAAAAATCCATGCCTATTGTTTAGATATTCCCTCAAAAAAAATATTTTAAAAATCCACGCCTATAGTTGAGATATTCCCTTTAAAGATCCACACCAATATTCCCTCAAAAAATGCTTTTAAAAATCTACGCCTATAGTTCAGATATTCGCTCAAAAAATTCTTTAAAAAATCCACGCCTATAGTTCAGATATTCGCTCAAAAAATTCTTTTAAAAATCCACGCCTATAGTTCAGATATTCCCTCAAAAAATTATTTTAAAAATCCACGCCTATAGTTGAGATATTACCTCAAAAAAATTCTCTTAAAAATTCGTGTTTTTAGTTTAGTTATACCCTCAAATAAATTCTTGAAAAAATCCACGATAATAGCTAAAGAAGTCCTCCAAATAAATTATTTTAAATAATTCTTAAAACAATTCAAGTTTTTAATTCAAATGGTCTCTCAAATTAATTCTTTTAAAAATCCGCGTTTATAGCTCCAATAGCCCCTTAAATATCTTCTAAAAATATCTACACTAAATGATTTTTTTCGTAACGCGTATTTTCTTGTACAAGATGTCAATATTTTTATTTTGTTTGTATTCTAATTTGTTTTTAATTCTTTTTCTTATACGTATTACAAATAACCCCATCCAATTGTAACCTCATACTAAAAATATTTACATTTGCTTGTATACAAAATATATAAAATAAAAAAAGTAAAGAACAAAAATAATGATGATGATGGTGTTTTTTTGTTGGATTATTCACCAATCGTCAATGAATTGGTTATTTATTGTTTTTATTTTGTTTGGATTTTTTAATTTTCTTTTGTGGTGGAGCGGCCGCGGCGGCGGCGGCATTTGAGGTCATTTCAACATCGTTCGATTTTGTTTCAGCACCAACAGCAGTATTATTGTCATCGATTTCAATACTAAAACCTTTAATATAAGGTTTAACCAATTGAAAAACTAATTTTTCATGTTGTATATTGCTGGAATCTAAACTCAAGCGTACGGTGACCGGATCAAAGGCATGGAAAATGATATCACCACAACGTTGTGTGTAATCCTAGGGAGGAAAAAGAAACACATTTAAAATATATATTTCATTAATAAATATGGATTTTGGAAATTTGAATAAAAAATTACCTCTTCATTAAAGGTAAATACAACATCATTGTTGGTTTTCTTTTGATCATCCTTGAGGGCATTCAAATAAATTGTACCCTCCAAACCAAATTTCGGAATGAGAATTTGTAAAGCATTTTTGCGTACAAATAAAATATAACTGCAAAAATCAAAAAGGTTTAATTATGGTTTGAAATCATGTTTAATGCCTTCACTTACCCCTCCTCATCCTGCACTTTGCCCTTAAAGAATAGATGGGTATTTAGTGCCACCGAAGCCCTGCCAGCATATTGAGCCATTTTATGGCGATAATTTAGATTGTGACACAATTCAGCATTGGCATTTTTATCCAACAATGCCGCATAGGTACTGTCCGCCCCAATTGAGGCGGCCAACAAACGATGTACAATAATATCGGAATATCTGAAAATGAAAAAATGTTCGAAAATAAAAATATAAAATGAAGGCTTTAGAAAGTAATCATTCCCACCTTCTAATTGGCGATGTGAAATGCGTATAAATCGGAGCGGCCAAGCCATAATGTTCAAATTGATCCTTCTGCAGGGTACCACTAATAAAATACAAGGCCTGCATCATACATCTTGTGGCTAAAATACGTATCATTGTATTAAAGTATGGATTATCGGCCTTAACACATTTATCCAACGATTTGGAAAATTCCAAACCAGAGTCACAACATATCTCAAAGTTTTGATGGCGGGCGGCCTTTATCAACGGTTCGAAATTACTTATCGGTGGACGTGGATGTCTACGCAACATTGCACATTCGGGGAATTCTTGGGCGATGTGTTCGGCCACTGTAACATTGGCCAATAACATGAATTCTTCTACCATTGAATTGGTATCGCGTAATTGTTTGGCCTCTACCTCCAACGGTTCGTGGGTTTCACTGTCCACCTGGAAACGAATTTCTGGCGAGGCCAAGACCAAGGCTCTGTAAAAGAAGAATACATATAATTTTTTTTTTTTTTTTAGATTCTTAATATTCGTTTGCCTTACCCATTATCCATTCTACGCTTTTTCAAAATCTTTGCCAATTTATTCAAATTACGCAATGATTTTGCAATATTATGATTTTGTGTCTTGTCATCGATGATAATTTGTGCCATTTCATAGGTCATTGCCGATTTGGATTTTATCACGGATTTATGGAATTTTTTGCTAATAACATTGGCCTCATGATCCATTTCCCAAATACACGAGAAGGCAAAACGTTCTACACCACCACGCAATGAACACAAATTGGAACTCAACAAATCGGGAACCATGTCAATACGTTTGCCAACCAAATAAACGGTGGTGCCTCGGCTGGCTGCCTCCTTGTCCAAGGCATTGCCGGGACGTATGAAGTGGCTAACATCGGCAATGTGGACACCAACTTCTAAATTGCCATTTGGCAGATCACGGCAATGTAGAGCATCATCGATATCTGTACAGCCGGGAGGATCAACAGAGCATATATCCAAATCTCGCAAATCAACACGTTCAGCATAATCCTAAAAATAAAACAAATTTCAAAATAAAAATCCTTCATTCAAAAAAATATTTTTCCTTTTTTCACTCACCTCCGGTGTAATGGTCCAAGGCATTTTGGGCAAAAAGCTAAGAACCTCTTCGGAAAATTTACTATGCGGCACGTCATGCTCCAAGAGAATAACTTCATTCTCGGTTTCAACATCACCCAGGGCTCCCAAAGCCCTAACAAAATGACCATGTGGATAACGTGACGACCTTGGCCATGTATCAATGGCCACAATTATACGTTGATTCTGTAACTTATCCGCTTGTCGCGTTTCAATACGCACTCGTGGTATTTTACGATCGGCTGGTATAAAAATATGTTTTGTACCACCCGGCAATTGGGCTGGTTGTAATATACCACAATATTGGCGACGTTTACGCCTTATAATACCCACAACTTTACCCGTGGGTCTTTTCTCGCCACTAGCCGATGCTTTGAGGGCAGCATCAGCCAGTACATCTTCAGCAGGTTGTTCATCGGCTTCATCACCTTCACCCACATCAATTGTTTCGGCTTCTTCGAGAACAATTTCACTAGGTGCTGACCATTTGGATTCGGGAAGCAGCTCAATGGCCACCAGATCACCATCGACAGCACGATTCAGAGAATCACGACCTTGGATAAGAATCTGGGAGGAAACATGACAGGAAAACGGTCAGTCGGTTGCAGAGGAAGAGTTTTTTATAGGACATAAAAGTTGTCACATTTTTCTTATAAAAAAAAATTCCTCAAATCAGCAAAGATTTTTTCTATAGAAAAAAGTCCTCAGTTGCTGAGGAAAAATATTATTCTTAAGAAAAAATCCTCTATTGCTGAGAACAGATTTTTTCTAAAGAAAAGAATTCCTGAGGACAATTTTTCTAAAGAAAAAAATCATCAGATAACACTGTGGGCTTATTTTTTATAAAAAAAACCTTAGCATCTGAGAGCAGATCTTTTTCTATACCAAAAGAAAATCAGTTGCTGAGGATGGCAGATAAGAAAAATTCCCAATTGCTGAGGAAAGATTTTTTTCTATAAAAAAAATCCTCAATTGCTGAGGACAGAATTTCTCTATAAAAAAATTCCTCAATCACTGAGAACGGATTTTTTTTTTAAATTCCTCAGTGATTGAGGAATGATTTTATTCTATAAAAAAATGAGTCTCTGAGGACAGATTTTCTTCTATAGAAAAAAATGAGTCTCTGAGGACATATTTTCTTATAAAAAAATTCCTCAGTATTCTATAGGAAAATTCCAGAGTTAGAAAAAATACTCCGCTACTGAGGACAGATTTTAGTCAATAGAAACCATTTTCCAGTTACCGAGGATGGATTTTTTCTATTGAAAAAATAATAGTACTGCGGACATATTTGTTTCTAAAGAAAACTAGTTCTCTGCTACTGCGGACAGATTTTTTCTATAGGAAAAATTCCAAGGACTTTTTTCCCACAAATTTTGTATTGATTGGTATTTTTTTATATTACTCACCGGATTTTCATAACCCTCCACATTAACCGAACCTTCCAAATAGTTTTCTCTCGATGCCTGAAACGCTCCCTGTAACAGACGTTGATTTCGAACACCATCAATAATTTCATTCATGCTCAAATGCATGGGAAATAGTGGATCAGTTTCACGATCTTTTTCAATATCCTTTCGGGCATATTTATCAATTAGCATAGGATAGTCAACTAATGATTTAATGTATTCCTCAGCTGTGGCTGCCAAGATGCCCTCCTTTTCGGCTTTTTCTTTATTGGCAATGTCATCGGTGATTAGCACAACTCTTGTCATTTGTTTACCTTTCGATTTTTTTGTGGCCGATTGTTGGACATCCATGATGTGACCATCATACCAGGCGGTGGCAAAACGTATAGCACGATCGTTGCGATCATTGGCTGATTCACCAGGTTTGCGCTCAACATAGGTGTCCCTTGAAGAAAAACCAAAATTACATTCGCATTTAATTGATGAGCATTAAATTAACCCCTCCCTCCCAATGGACTCACTTATGATGTTCATTAACAAACACAAAGAAACCACGTGGCTTATGCTGGACAACTTCATGGAATCGTTTATAGATGACCGAACTGCAATGTTTCACCTCCTGCAGTACTGTGGACAAGACAATAACATTGCGTAAAGCATCCTCTTCAAGTACGTCGATTTGATGCAAGACCACATTTGTATCCAATACGACATAGTGGGGAAAGTCGAACAAGGTGCTACGATTCATACGTTCCGTTCTTAGCTGGACACCATCCTCATCTTGCTGGCAACGATGGCAAATATCGGAACCACAACCCAAATCTATACGCAAATAATGTTCACGGACAATCTGTTGAAAAAAATAAATTATTTATCAAATTTTCAAATTTTAATGAAGTTTTCAATCCTTTGGACCTTGAGAATATTTCCCCTTTTTGTTTTTCTTGTAAATTCCCGTATAGTCTGCATGTTGTTTTTTTAAATGTTTTCGGTGTATTCCGGATGTTCTGTTAGACTTTGATAACTTTATCCTCTCAAGAGTTCCAAAAGTGGTAACTAATTTCAAATGGAACTCCGAAATTGTTTGAAAACGTGTGTGCGAAAGAATAAATAAAGAAATGTGGTCGGTAAAGATCAGAATCAAAACAAAAACCGGGAAAAAATGTTAGGGCTCTCCAATTCGAAAAACGTGCCGGAACTGTAGGGGTTTTTAAACTCGGCATGAGAACTTGAAAAACAGATGAGATCAGGTGTTGGCAATTCGAAATTAAGAAAAATGAGAAAATGTGGTGTAATCATCAATTAATTACCGGTAAATTTTCTCCCTACCCACTCTCATTTGAAGGTATTCCCTATTGGATTTTGGGAAGAAATCATAACATTTTTCGCGTTTTTAGTTTTGTGTTGAAGAACTGTCAAATAAACACAAACACTTGTTGCGTATATTTATTTTATTTTTGGCAGAAGAGGTTAGTTGCTTTTTTGTTATTCACCTCAAGCTGCCATACCTTGTATTATTGTACCATGGTTGGAATCATGATGACAATTTAATTTCTATAACAACAATGTGGTTTTTGTAAAATATTTGTTGTTGTATCTGATGCATACACCTTATTAAATAATATAGTAATACTACTGAACTTTCCGGAACTTTACATTATCTATTCACAATAATTCATATAAAAAATCAAATTTTTAGTCAATTTTGCAGGAGTCAGTAAAGTCGAAAATCGATTTTGAACAGTTTTGACAAAATCGAAAGATGGAAAAGTCGACTTTTTAGTCAAAGGCAAAAATCGAAAAGTCTAAAAATCGACTTTTGCGCTCGGCTACATATCCCTAATGCGGTGTACACACTAGCATTTTTGAATGGCACTCTTGCTCAAATTTTGCTTGTTTGATAGTGTGGCCTCACATGTTTGTCATTCATCAGGCAACCACAAAAATATTTATGGTTGTTGGACAGTCAGTAATCGAGAAAAAAGCTGACAGTCAAAATGATAGTGTGTACACCGCTTAAGGAAGCACATCATATATGTGTTACACATATAAGTGGCAATCGCTCAATTATAGGAAAGATGTGGAAGAACTAGAAATGTAAATTTGATAGAATTTCATTTATGTTTTTCAATTTTATTTTGAGGATTCGAAAATATTTAATTTTCAAAATAAATGTAATTTGTTGATAATTTATTTGTTTGTTTACATTTTTCTGTCAAATGACGTTGATACTAGTATAACTTACAACAACAAATTTCCATGTGGTTGTTGTACAACATTTATTCAGTAAGTTCTAGTTCAGAGAGTAAGCCATTTTTACTCTCTTTTGCGATAATACTGAAAAAAGTAAACAGACAACATTTAGTAAGATTTAGCAAATAAACAGCTGATTCAAGAAAACATTTTATTTGCGCCAAAATAAATAACAAACAAAGGACGAACACAATTATTTGTATTTGAGCCGTCCGTGGCATTGGTATAATAAACCATGTATTATGATCCAATAATAAGGTCGTGTGATAACGTAAACAAAAAATTTGACAGCTTGGCGGATTTTAACCCATAATTGTCGTTTATTGAATCATGACCATGATGCAATAATAAGGTGACGTATCAAAACAAAAACATTTGTTTTTGTCTCAACCTTCTGTCAAAATTTTCTATATAATATTTCACATGATTGGCAACATTGCACATCGAATTCAAATAGAAATTACTCACTTTGACAGTTAAGGGCTAAGCAGAATACTCGCGTTGAGCCATCCGTCGCGTTATATGTTATCGAAAATACAACAAACACAAGGAAACAATAACACAAACGCGACGGATGGCTCAACGCGAGCATTCTGCTTAGCCCTTTAATCGAGTCATCAGTTGCGCTAAATGGATTACCTATTTATTGTGCATTGCCTCTGACCTTTAATTAAAAAGTCGACATTTCGATCCTTGGATTTTGTCAAACCTGTTCAAAATTGAATTCCACCTTTTACCGACTAATGCAAAATGGACTAAAAGTTTGATTTTTTTATGTGAATAGTTGTCAACCGATAAAATAAAGTTCTGGAATCTGTATTTTTTGACAATTTCGACTTTGTGATAATAAAGCAAGTATTTATTTATCTAAAATCGGAAGTCGATCTTGAGAAGTCGACTTTACGATTTCCCCATATATCAAAAGTCGACTTTTAGACTTTTTCAATACAAAATCGATTAGTCGATAGTCGATTTACTTATCCCTACACATAAACTGCAAGACAGTAGGTTCGTTCGTTTACTTTCCCAGTAATATTTACTCAGTAAGAATTTGCAGAGAGTAAATATGATTTTTTCCTTCTCAAGAGAGAAAACTGCAAAAAGTAAACGAACAACATCCAGTAAAAAGATTGTTTCGACACAGCTGATTAAAACAAGAAACAAATTGGGGCAGACATGTTTGGGATGCACACTTTTTTGTTTGGATTTGGAACCTAAAAAATCGTTCGCCAATTACTCTTGTATTACCTTATTTTTAAATACTTGCGTTTTCTTCATCCATTTTGGTATTTAATGATACAAAATCAAAATAGAATTAAAAAAAACAATAAATTTTCTTGAGAAAAATTTTTTGTTTGTTTACAAAACATAACAAAACAGCTGATTAAATATCAGCTGATGGTACAAGAAAATTGTTACTGAGTAAATTTTCCTTGTAAGAATTTGCAAATACTCAGTAACACAACTGTCAAATCTGCTCTCTCAATTCACTCTCTTTTACTGGACTTTTGGGTAAACGAACAACATTTTGTAATAATTTGTACAAATTCGTACAAATTATTGAGTAAACGAACGAACCTAGTATTTTTGGTAGAGTTGGGCAATCTAGTTCACGTAGCGGATCGATCATTCTCGTTTCTTTTTTAAAAAGGAACTAGTTCCTTAATGTAGTTCCTTTGAACTATGTAATTACTTCGTAATTAAGAGTCGAACCACGAATGAGAGAGGGAACAACGCTCGTCTGTACATGGCATTAGACTTTTCAATACAAAAAGTCGATTAATCGAAAGTCGATTTACTTATCCCTAATCATAATTTGCCTAACAGTACGTTTACATTTAACCGGATTTCGTTAACCCAGTGGGTTTCAATTGTCATTTCCTTTGCATATATGTCAAATAAATCCTAATAAAGTAGGTTAACCCGGTAAAAAGTTCTAATGTACATGGAGTTTAAACCTCATTCGTAAACTTTCGGTTATACCATTTTGAGTTCATCTTTATCGGCCATTTTGTCTTCTCCTCCCATTCGTTAGCAGGTGGAACGTTTTTCAATTTTTTCAGTCGTCGTTTTTATTTTAGCTCCGTTCCAAAACCTAAAAGAATCTACTAATTTTACAAGTTTTGCAACTTTTTACTCGAAAACCGTTCCTGAACCCATAAAACTGGTAAAGCATTGAATCAAATTTAAGAGAACACAAAACAAAATGGCTTTCTCTTTGTAAACTTTTTGTTATGTTGATTTTGGCATATTTACTAGATTTGCGTTCCCGAACTTTTCAAATTATTTTGTACTCTGAGACTTGAAATGTTTCCCTTTTACTAGCTTTACTATTAAACAAGTGAAAAAGCGTTAAGTTCGGCCGGGCCGAACTTTGGATACCCTCCACCACAGGTATACTGACAGGTATTTGAAATGAAAAAGTGGACCGATATTTATAATTTTAAATAGAGATATTTGGTACCCAATATGAACCCACTGTACCAAATTTCAGCGAATTCGGTTGAAAATCGCGCGTAAGAACCTCAAAATACCGAAAATTTGGGGTGCCCTTATATGGGGGCTACCAGAAAAAGTGGGCCGATATTTATACTTTTTAGTAGAGATATTTGGTACGCAATATGAACCCAATGTACAAAATTGCAGCGAATTCGGTTGAAAAGCGCGCTCAAGTACCCCAAAATACCGAAATGGGGGGTACCCTTATATGGGGGATATCCGAAAAAATTTACCTATATTTAAATTTTTTTGTGGAGAGATTTGGTACCTGCTAAGAACTCAAAATACTAAATTACAGCCAATTCGGTGAAAAATACGATAAAAACCCAAAAAATACTGAAAATTAGGAGGTACCGTTATATGGGGGCTACAAGAAAAAGTGGACCTATATTTATAATTTTTTGTGGATACATTTACTACAAATTCGGTTGAAAAAAGCGCTCAAGAACCCCAAAATACCAAAAATTGGGGGGTACCCTTATATGGGAGCTATGCCTAAACGTGGACCGATATATCCCATCTTCGAACTTGACCTGCCTACAGACAAAAAACAACCCTATGCAAAATTTCAGCACCCTATCTCAATTCCTTCAGAAGATAGCGTGATTACAACAGACGGACGGACATCGTCTTAGAATTTTACCCTGATCAAGAATATATATACTTTATAGGGTCGGAAATGAATATTTCGATGAGTTACAAACGGAATGACAAAATTAATATACCCTCCATACTATGGTGGAGGGTATAAAAAGTACTGGAACAGACCATTTGTTGGCGAAGGTTTGCGTACGACGTCGCTTGAGTCTTGGCAGAACGACGATTAACAAGCGAATTTTATGAAGGCTGGAGTCTTGGAGGCTTCCCACTGTTCTTTTGAATCTCTCTCTCTCTCTTTTATTATTTTTTTTTTTTTTCGTTTTTCCATATATAGTTCCTTTGCTCCAAATAGTTCCTTTGCTCCATATAGTTCCTTTGCTCTTTATAGTTCCTTTGCTCCATACAGTTCCTTTGCTTCAAATAGTTCAAAAAAGGAACTGGATCAGAGAAAGGAATATATTAATTAAAGAACTGGAACTAGTTCCGTTCGTTCCTTTCTCGGAATAGTTCCAATGAACTAGTTCGTTTTTTGGTAAAAAGTCACATAAACTGCAAGAAAAAATATTATGGAAAAACATAACATATTGCCGACGTTTTATTGAATTAATGCATTAAAATTGAATGTCTGAGCATCATACGATTGAAATATCTCCAATAATACCGTAAATTAATTGCCCAACAATGTAAGAATTATGTTTTCTGAATTGTAATTGAAAACAAATGCAAGAAGAAGCGAACAGCAGCAGTAGTCAATCAGTCAGTGTGTAATGAATGTGTCTGAGTGTGTGTGTGCCAACGATAGATAAAGGGGAGAGCGCGGGCGGTCGGCATGTGAATGGAATGGATGGAACTTAATATAGATTTAAAGAAAGTTTGTAAACCCTTTCGATCGATTGACAAGAATAAACAAAAACAAAGTGTTAATTTTCCATAATTAATTGGCACATGGTAATTTTTTAATATTTCACAGCCCGATTGTAGTGGTTTTCGTTACTAATGCCATCCATCCATGCCAGCCCCCCTCCATTTTTTGGGAAAATGTTGTTGAGATTTTTCTCGTTGCACACGCATTTTCCTTCCCTTTCTAACTTTCTTTCGCTTATACACTTCTTGATGATGCACATCATAACACACATTCATGGCTTTGGCTCAGGCTGGCTGGCTGGCACACTGCTGATGGCTAGCTAGAGATGGCTTAATATGTGAGTTCGTGTGTAGGTTGATATATTTTGTTTGTTTTTTTTTTCAGTTGACATCCTTTTTGGTAAGGACGAAGAATTGTAAACTGAGGCACAAGTTGCTGCGCGCGGTGCACAAATCTTGTGAGTTAAGTAAATGGCGGTTAAAGTGCAATTTGAAATTGGCCATACCTCGAAGTTGAGGAGTAAAAAAACCATTGAAGGTTACACACATGATTGGGAGCTATATGTAAAAGGACAACAGGGCGACATAAGTGTGTTTGTGGAGAAAATTGTTTTCATTTTGCATGAATCTTTTGCCAAACCCAAACGTGGTAAGTAGAGTAGTTCAGTAATTGCCTCGATTTTCGGGCATCAGATAAAAACCTCTATTTTTCCATTGCAGTTTTCAAAGAGCCACCATATCTAATTCAAGAGTCGGGTTATGCTGGTTTCTATGTTATAATTGAAATCCATCTACGCAATCGAGATGAACCCAAGCGTATTAACTATCAGTACGATTTGAATTTACAGACAACAGGACCGCCAAAACATAATCACGAAATAAAGAAATATGTCTTTGAAAATCCATCCGAAGAATTTCGTCAAAAACTTTTGAGAGGCGGTGGAGTTCTGGTATCAGCTGTAACATCTAGTAATGCCATAACGAATAACTCAATGTCAGGTGCTAATACAACGGGACATGGTGAGGTACACAAGAGCTCATCAGCCGAAAAGAAACACAAAAATCGTCCACCAGATGATTCCAAATTAAATTCATTCGCCAATCTATTTGGTACACCCATAACAAAAACATCCTCAGTTACCTCAGCTGGAGGCAGTACAGCAGGAGCTATAACAAATTCTGGTGGAGCTGGTGCAGTTGCAGGTGCTTATAATTCTGGCAACAATGCCAAACATTCTCCTGATACTAAGACAGGGCAATCGGGAAGTAACAACACCGCTGGTATACCTCCCACTAAGGAGAAGTCATCAAAAGATAAAGAAAAATCATCATCAGATAGGTCCAAAGATCGATCTGAACGCAAGGAAAAACATCATAAGCAATCAACAAACAGTCCCCACAAGGAGGGCCGAAGTGATTCCAAAAAATCAGAATCCAAACATGAGAAACGAGATAAAAATGAAGAAAAATCGAAGAAGGATAAAAATCGTGACAAAGATCGCGATCGAGACAAATCGTCCTCGTCATCATCGGGAAATGTTCCGAACAACAGCAAGAGACCCGCGAGTCCAAAGCCATCAAGAGAACTAAGTCCAATGAAAACGACTGCTTCGGTGCCCCCAAATACTCAAAGTGCCACTGGAACAATGGCAAACAGCTCAACTTCGTCGGTAGCAAGACCTTCATCCTCCCAAAGTGGTAAAATAGAAGAAGGCAAATCCTCATCATCGAAATCATCAAAAGATTCCTCATCGAAGGAATCGAAATCAAAGGAATCTTCTTCGTCGAGTGGTAAAAAATCGAAGAAAGAGAAAAAAGATAAGGACAAGGATAGGGACAGAGATAAAGAGCGACGACACGAAGAAAAGGAGAAACAAAAATCTTTAGAGGCATCTTCTAAGTCAACTGCCTCCAAGGATGAAACAAAACACCCAACATCCTTGTCCCCTACAAATGCAAACAACTCGGCAATACCTACACCACCAGCAACTGTTGTTGGAGAAAAACACTCAAAGAGTCCGTTAAATGCCAATGAAACAAAGAAGTCCGAAAAACCAACATCAAAACCTGAGTCAACCAAAAATATAGAAAATTCAACAGCTCTTCCAATATCAGGGTCAGCAGCAACAACTGTGCTGGCAGCAAATGCAGCCGCCACACAACATTTAGCAAATGATAAAAAAGCTTCAACCTCCTCATCATCTTCATCCACATCGGCACCAACGGCAAATGTGCCGGCACAGCCCGAAAAAGATAAACGCTCCCACAAACACAAAAAGAAAGAAAAGAATAAAGATAAGGACAAAGATCGGGACCGAGATAAGGAACGTGATAAGGATAAAGATAAGGATCGCGATAAGGAGAAAGAAAGCAAAAAGGAAAAAGAGAGCAAAGAGAAACCAACAGAGGAGAAAAGCACTGAGAACTTTTCGGTTCCACCACCACTGCAGCAGACACTGCAACAGCAATCCAGTGCCACAGCAAGTCTTACGAATAGTCCACGTATTAGTAATCCCGAAGAGCTTTCTGGTGTCAATACAACACCATCGTCAACGACATCGTCGACAACAACCACCAGCAGCAGCAATAGCTCTTCGTCCAAATCCTCGAAAAACAAAGAAAAGAAATCCAAAGATAGATCAAAGGAGGACAAATCATCCTCTAAACACAAATCGAATGATGTTGATGGCACCGAGAGTAGTAGAAGCAAACAAGCCAAATTATTAACAACATCCTCGTCGACGACCTCTGTCCCCACAGCAGCTACAAACAACAGTGTCACAAATAGTTCTGCACCCCTTGAAACACCTTCTACAATTGCACCTACGAGTGGTGGTCACTTAGATCTTAGCGATAATGATAGTGTTTCATCGGCACCCACACTTGACACTCAAACGGCAGCTGCAGCAAACAAACCACCACCACCAACAACAGTCATCACACATTCTGATAGCTCAAACAGTAGTTTTCCCGATTTAACATTGCCCAAAGCACAAAAACCTGCTACATCACATGAGCCCACGGCTAAGCCCGTAAATCCTACACCGCCACCACCAGCTCCACAATTGAAAGAACCTCCACCCAAGGCCAGTAAGTCTTCAAAAGACAAAACTGAGAAATCATCCAAAAACGATGAAGAACGGGAGAAGAAGCGACGACGTAATTCTCAAGCAGCCAATACCTTCATTGAGCCACCGCTCAAACAAATGAAAAAGGAAACAAAATCCGTAAGAGAAAAATCGAAATCACCATCGCTACGTAATGCCGGCACTAGAGCAAGTATATCAGAGGCTACATCAACTTTCCTACAGCCTGGAGCATCACCATCGAGTACAGCAGCAGCTGCGCCACTAGCACCACCCGCATCGGTACCGCCGGCTGCACATTCACCTGCCTTAAGTGCCGCAGAGGCTGTTGGCAACGCTACCAGTGCCACTGCAAATGCCGCCACATGCAATAGTAGTTCAGCAACGCCTACATCGGCTGCAAATTCATCATCAACTGCTGCTGCAGCAGCGGCATTGGCATCATCACATCAATTGCCTTTGGATTATCTAAGTGAATTGCAGGAGTTACATCATAAGATTATGACACTACAGGACAATGAAGATCTCCAGCATGTTGTCGAGCTAATAGCTGCTACGGGTTGCTACGAAATCACAACAAAAACATTCGATTTTGATTTGTGTAAATTGGACCGGGTTACTGTCCAGCGATTACAGGAGTTTTTTGCCACATCGGTATCATGACATAGAATTCATGTTTAAGGTGAATTATGGGTGAGTATCTATGTATACTAATAAAAGGTACGAAACGTACCTAAAAAGTACTAAAGGTGGTACCATTTGTATTTACGAACCGGTAGAGCTTCTTAAATTTGAAATTTAAATTTTGGTACAAATTTAATTTGGGGTGAATAGATACGTATTTTTGGAATTTTTTTACTTATGTGTTCGGAAAGTACTAAATAATACTATAATTGGTACAATTTGGATTTTAGGATCATAGTTGGGGTGTAGGATTTGGATTGAGCTGGAATTTTGAAGTTTGAATTGAGTTGGGTTTCTTGAAAGTTTTGGAAATTCGTACTTATTTGTACTACGGTACTATATGTGGTTTTGGGTGAACCGATAGAGCTGGTATCTTCACATTTGGACTTAGGATCATTGTCAACTAAATTTGGTCAATTGAAATTTTGTGTGAACTGATGTAGGAAGTTTGGAAATTCGTACTAACGTGTACTAAATTTAGTACAATTTAAATGTTGGGTGAACCGATAAAGCTGGAACCCTGAAATTTAGAGTTAGAGTCAATGTTGGGGTGTAGGATTGAGATATGTTGAATGTTTTGGAAATTCGTACTAATATGTACAAAATGGTACCAAATGTGGATTTGGGTGAACCGATATAGCTGGAATCTTGAAATTTGATGTAAGGATAACTGTTGGAGCGTAGGATTGGCTTTGTAGAAAGTTTTGGAAATTCGTACTAAATTTGGATGTATGTGAACCGATAGAGCTGGAATATTGACATTAGAAATTAGGACCACTGCAGGGGTGTTGGATGTGGAGGTATGTAGTAAGTTTTTGAAATGGCTCCATTGTTTCGAAACAAGTATTACAAGAGTATACCAAATGATAGCAAATTTAATAAAGAACTAGATTTTTATTACGCTCAGAATTGGTGTGTAGAGTTGAGTTATGGAGGTACTTTTGGAAATACATACTACAAGAGGATATACTAAAAATTTAATTGGTTTTGAATAATTCCCACATTCGCTATCGAATAGCGGGCATATGTTGATTAGATATCTTACGATGGAATAGGAACATTGAGGAACGGGCGAAGAGAGGTCTGATTGAAATATACGCATGCAATAACTCCATTGGGATAAGCTGGGTGCTAAGACCATCGACTATACACTGGTTGTATAACACCGTGGTAAGGCACATCCTATCCTATGGCTCTCTTGTGTGTTGGAATTGTCTGCGCCCCAAGTCGACATCCAGTAAATTAGATAAGGTACAAAGGGCCGCCTCGATTTTAGTTACAGGAGCCAGGAAGAGTACGTCACAAGCAGTTCTGAAAGCACCTCTGGGCCTCAGCATTAAGAGTGAGGCCGCCGGTGGCGCCCTAAGGTTGCATGAACAAAACCTCTGGCGAGTTTATACCTTTGGGCATGGTTGTATCTTGAACGAACCAGGTATGACATTGGACCAACGCGAAAAACTAAACGACTATATATCACCTGTCCTGAGATTTGACGATGTAGATGTCGTTATTCCTAGTAGAGGCGACGGGAACCGAAGTAACCCTCCTATGGACGGTCCGGCCTTCTATACAGACGGATCCAAGACGGAAGAAGGTACAGGGGCAGGCGTCTACTGTGAAAGACTAGGCGTTGAGTTAACCTACAAGCTGGATTGCAACTGTAGTGTTTTCCAAGTTGAAGTCTTTTGCTAGCTAGACGAGAATCTCAATCCACAGATCTAGCAATTGATGACTCAATCAAACCACCCATATGTCATCTTTACCGGAACTTTGAGGCGTTCTTCGACGAAAGAGCCTATGAACGTTGGCACAACGAACCTAAGTGCAACGTGTCAACATCCATTCGGCCGGCTCTGTCTACCAAAAGAACGCACTCACTGTTGAACCTGAGTAAAGCTGAAATAAGAGTAATAACAGGAATCATTACTGGTCATTGCAATATCAGGGCCTTTACTAGTAAATGGGATCTTGATGCAATTGATTACTGTAGACTCTGCGTTGATGAGGAGGAGACGGAGACAATTGAACATCTTCTGTGTCACTTGTCTTGTTGGACACATTGAAGTGTTTTTTTTTGTAGAAACGGTGGTGCCGTACTACAACGAAGCTTTTATACGATACCAAGGAATTCAGGACGTTCACTGCAACACAACCATGTCTTGTCCCCCAGAGTACATTGGAATGGACACTTTCGCTTCCTTTTTGTAGAAATTCATTTTAATAGTGGGTGATACTTTAATTGCCATGAGAGAATTATCCAAGATAAAGATTCCAATATTTTCCCAATTGATTCACGAATGTTTTGTCTTATTAAGGTCCAGTCCCAATTTAAGTATATAGCCGTCTTCCACAATCGATGCTATGATCGATTTAAATTTACGCGTTTTAATTTGGCTGTTTGAGAAGTAACATTTTTGTTATAATTTTTGAGAATCAAAATTGTTAAATATTAAAAAAAAGTATTCTGCTAAATGTGTCGTTAATTTTATTTTTTTTTCTAATTATTGTTACAGATTCCCAACTGGCTAGCTCACCTTGATGGACAACAAAAAATAAACCATACCATTAATGCCAGAAGAGGTATTTTTCTTTTTTTATTTTTGTTATGTAAGAAAAACAAACAAACAAAAATTTTTTATATAATCTACATTGTGTAAGAGGGAAGCTATTATGAATAAAACAATACCACAAACATATTTAAAATATATAGTATATTGTATTTCACATACTGGAAACACACACATTAAGAAAACAATACAACAACTGCAACAAAATATGCATTGCACAAAATTTGTGTTAAATTTGCGAAGAACAAAAAACAAAAACACAAATCATAATAATTTATTAATGTTTAAATGTAATTAAACAAAAGGAACAAGAAAACAAAACAAAGAATAGACAAAGTACATAAATGTATTTATGCGTTATTTTTCATTTCGTTGTTTTTTTTTCAAAATAAAACAAAAAAACTGAACACATATATACAAACAAAACCAAATAATTAAACAATTCTTAAAGAAATCACAGCAAAATTATAAATATATTTATAACAAAAAAAAAAAAAAAAGAAAACAACAAGCAATTAGCATTAAAATATATTTTAATTATAACATATGCAACACAGCAATGAAATTATTTGAAATTTTAAAAACAATAGTTTATACAAAACAAAAAAATATTTGTGGCGCCCAATATTAGTTTTTTTTATACTTACTTTTTTATTATTATCTTTTTTAAATTGTTATATTTGTTTCACTACAATTTCCTTCAATTTGTTTTCTATTATGCAAATAACATAACACGCCTTTATTACTGACTTAACGCAAGACTTCTATTTTTTTTTATTCTATTATTAACAACAATTTTGTATATTATTATTACAAAAAACAACTCTACAACTTTTAACTCTAAAGATTTTTTGTTTGTTTTGCTCTATCCCATTTTCTATCTAACCAAACTAATTTTTAAGAACTATAAAGACTTTTGGTTTTAAGCAATTTATTTTTAGAAAAATAAAACAATTAAGCTACATACCTATATACATACATATATATATTTAGTTATTAATTGTATATTTAGGGTGTATTTTAATATTTCTACGACATCAATTGAAATTTAACTGCATTGTTTATATTGTGTCTTGATTTTATTATTGTTTGTTTTATTATTTTTTATTATTATTTTCTGGATATTATATAGTATGTACACATAAGAATTCTCATGCAATAAAAATACAAAAACAAAAACAGAAATATTTCACCTGGAAGAAATTTTCAAAAAATGTGTTGTTTTTTTGTTTTGGCTGGTAGGCATAGGTAAAAGAAAAAGCAACATAGAGAAAGGTTTTTAGCATGTGGAAGTTTCTACCATGATTGATTATCACGACTTTTTATTATACGCAAAGGGAAATAAATAAACTAGGGAAATTCTATTACTTGAATGGGCTGAGGTACAGATGGCTGCAGGATGGAATAATATCATTACTGTATGGAAACTGGAAACTACAGAGGAATTGCAAAATTAAGTGATATCCCAATATTGTTTGAAAAATTAATTATTGATGTTATTTCTCACCAAATTCAATCTATTTTAAGTCCATATCAACATGGCTTTCGTAGTGGTCTTTCAACTATAACAAAATTTTATAGAGTTTACTTCAATTGTAATAAAGGGATTTGTTCAGCGAAATCAAACTGATACCATTTATACAGATTTTAGTAAAGCTTTTGATAGGGTTAACCAAGGAAGTCACTCGGGCCGGTTCTTTTACTATTGTTTGTATATGATTTGCCAACTTCTGTAGTACATTCTAAATTGTTAATGTATGCCGATCATGTCAAGTTATTCATTACCCATAGTTCTGAGAAACTAGTCAATTTACTTCAAAATGATTTAAATAAAATAACCTTTTTTCAATGGTGAAGATTAAATTGTATGGATTTAAATTTGAACAAATGTAAACATATGTGTTTTTCTAGAAATTCTTCATTGATGAGGCAATACAATATTAACAGTTCGGATCTTGGTATTTTAATGGATCCCAAGTTAAACTTTGACAATCATGTTATTTCTATGGTAAATAAAGCATATGATGTATTATGTTTTATAAAACGGTGGGCCAAAGAATTCTCGGATCCTTATGTAACAAAACAACTATGCACGTCTTTTGTTAGACCTATATTATAATATGGTTCTGTTGTATGGGATCCTCAATATGCAATATATTCCGATAAAATCGAATCTGTGCTGAAACAATTCTTACTTTTTGCACTGAGAGGTTTACATTGGAAGTGATTTTCTGTTGCCTTCATACACTAGCAGGTTAAAATCAATTCGAATGGTAATATGCCCTCTGATTTCCTAAGTTCATCTATTAGAATAAATGTTCCTTTTCGATCTAGTAGATATTATCAACTATTATATGTAGATTTTAATCGCACAAATTAGTCTATGGGAGATCCGCTCAGTAAAATTTGTATTGATTTTAATTCTGTGTACTCTAATGTAGATTTTTGC